CTTCTTGGCCTTGGAATCAACTACTCTGGCCAGAACTTGTTCATTAATCAAGAAAAGTATGCAAATGATCTTATAGAGCCAATATGAGCAATTGCGAACCTTGCAACACACCTTGTGTTTCATCTCACAAACTTAGCAGCATTGATGATTCACCCTTATCCAATCCTACACTTCACAGAAGCTTAGTTGGATCTCTGTAATACTTAATTTTTACCAGACTTGATCTCAGTTCTGCTGGTCAACTATGTCTGTCAGTTCATCCATACCCCTACAGAGTTTGAGATTTGTCAAAGAGACTACTTTCACTTGGTCTCACCTTCAAACCCAACTCCATTCATCTGTCTGCATTCACTAATGCAAACTCCCACTGATAGGAAGGTCAACAACTAGGTGTGTGTTTTATCTAGGCTATTCACTGGAGGGACAAAGAAGCAGTCTCCTGTGACTAGGTCATAGGTCATCTACTGAGGCTGAATATAGAGCTTTAGCTTTTACTACAGCTGAGATTTCTTGGTTTAGAATGCTGCTATGTTATATGCATACATTCCTACCTCACATTCCTAGAATATGGTGTGATAATCTCTCTACATTGGCTCTGGTTGCAAATCCTCTCTTCCATTCAAGAACCAAACATATAGAAATTGACTATCATTTTGCCAGAGAGAAAGTCATCAAAAAGGATATTGTTGTTTGCTATGTTAACACTGAAGATCCAATAACTGATGTGCCTACCAAGGGTCTGTCTTCTCATAGGTTCATGTTGCTTCGAGACAAACTCCTGGTAGGCCTCTGTCCCATTCATTTGATGGGAAATATTAACACAGCTATAGAAGCAGAGCCTGAAGCTGCTAATCACACAAGTTCTCAGTCAAGGCAATCCACACACTTAGGTAGTTAGGGTAGACGGTTACAGGTAGTTAGCTAAGTTAGTTATGTTGCAGAGCTGTAAACACCATGTGATGTAATTAAACCGTTAGTGTAATCTGTTATGGAATTTGTCACAACCAGCTAAGTGGAGATGATGCACTAGCTCATGCACTATATATGTACATCAACTGTACTTGTAATTGAATCATTGAATAAAATTCATCTTCCTCCTCTCTCCTTCTTGGTTTCTATGTTCTTGTTCAAAGTGATTAGCTTCAGAACCAGTGTATCTTCAATTCATTCACACTCAACTCAATAAACCACAAAACCTACCACTCTGCGCCCGTTGTTTTATTACTTATCATATTACTGTCCTAACCCACCTCCATCCGCACAGAACTCCTCAACACATTTCCACCAGTTAGACCCCCAACACCCACCCCCTCCTCTTCAACCCACCACCACCCCTAGTAGTAGGCCAACTCCCCCAACCCACCCACCTACAAAAGAAACCACTCAACCCATCAAAACACCCTTAAACACCTTAAGGCATGGAAGGCCAAAAACATTAACACATATTGGACCAAATTACATAGGATCTAACAAGGGGTTATGATTGCGAGATCAAGTTCATAAAACTCGCTTTTAGATGCCATCCAAACCACTAATCAGTAATATGAGAGAGAGAGAGAGAGAGAGAGAGAGAGAGAGAGAGGCGAGAAATTTAGGAACTAATGCAGAAACCTGGGTTTTGCGTTTTATTTATTTGTTATGTTTTTCCTCATGATGGGGCTAGTGTGGCATAATCACTGAGGTTTTTTTTTCAAGATGGGGTTGGTGTGTGGCGTAATCACCTAGGTTTTTTTAAATTTAGAGAACACAGAAAATTCTGATTGAAGAAAAGGGGGATTCCAATGAATTTAGGGGGAATTACATTGCTAGAGAATATAAAAATGTTACTGACAGAAACAAGAATCAAACCCAAACCTCATCCTCCCTAAGGAATACCATGGCAGCAATTTTCGCCGTGCTGCAATGGCTTGGCAACCAATATTCATTCAAAATTGGTTTCAATGAACATCAGATTTAAGATAGTATATAAGATTTAAAGAAATGATGCTGTGAGACGACATCGTAGACAGAAAGCAGAGCAAGAATCAAACCACATGAAAGAAGCATAAATAGACCTAATTAATGTACCAGGATTAATCTATGAGACAGAATTTGCAAGGAAAACTCAGTCATTATGGCATTTAATCGTTATATGGAAGTCAACAATGCTCAAAAGACAATATAACATGGATTCGGCTTAACAGTGCTAAATTTCAAGACTACAGATAGTGCAGCAGCAACAGAAAGATGCAGATGAAGATTAAGTTTCGAAATTGTTAGCCCCTGGAATGTGGTTGTGAAGCATTACCGGGTGATTACTAAACAAGTTGTATTGCTAGATATTCCCCGGGAGTAATAAGTGCTCATTGCCAATGATAACAACATAGTAATCACAATGCTATTTTACCAACCTGTGCCAATTCTGATCATTCTACACTTGAGATCCATCTAATAAAGTAACAAAAAACACTCAAGAACTATCAAGAATCAATATATTCAATTCACAAATGCTTCCACAAAACCCCAACCATCCTCAATATCAGGCCCCACCCAAAAGCCCCATATGACTGTATGACCACAAGAAATTAAATTAAAATGACAGGAAACAAGTTCACCAGAATGTCGCAACGGTGTCATGATACTGTGTTGACAGCTCCTTTTTTCAGAGAAGATCCCTTTATGCAAGCAGCTGGGAGCAAGAAGTTTGACCACTGCAAATATTTAACAAACTGTCAGCTCGCAAAGACAACCATGAACTGTCTGCTTGGATGCACTACACTAATGAAGTTAGTTGCTCTACATCTACATGAATAAGCCCACTACTTTTGTAAAATAAATGTCATTTTCCACGAAGATCATGCATTAACATCTAGGAAGCACGGATACTCCGGTGAGGGTCGTCATGGCGGTGCCGGACACGGCCCCACACGTGTCCGACACTTCAATAAGTGACCGGAACAGAACATGAAAAAAAATTGGATACGGGAGGGATACGAAATGGATACAGTACCTGATCAGTTGATCACTTCTTCGATCTGTTTACCAGACAGAAGGTCAGCAAATCTGAGACTTGTATTGGCTAGGTATGTCTTCTTCAAAACTCTTCCACTTCTTCTTTCCTTCTTCTTCTTCTCTCATTCTTTTACTTCACCGGACAGAGGATCTCTCTCTCTCTCTCTCTCTCTCTCTAATTTGTGGAAGACTGATCGTCTGCATTCACCAAACAGAGGGTATGAACCCTCCCCCTCGCTTTACTCTTTTATTTTTTTTTCCCTGTTCTCACTCTCTCGGTCACGCTTTTCCTTTTCGTTCTCTCTCTCTCACTCTCTCTCTCTCTTTATTTGAATACAGTACACATTAAATTTCAGCTTTTTAAAAAAATATTTTTCTTCTTTTTTTGGTATAATCTATTTATTAATTGTCAAATACATTAATAAATTGTCCAATTTGATATTTAGCCCATCCAATTGTAACATATTAGCCCATCCAATTGTAACAAATTAGCTCACTATCCAATTTGATATTAGGTCATTGTCCAATTATAAAATATTAATCAACTGCGCAATGTTTTTTAAGTCATATTATAAATGTTTTTATTTATAATTTTAATTAGTCGTATTCTTACCGTAACCATGTCCTATATTTTAGAACTTTATAGTATCCCTGTGTCTGTATCGTATTAAATACGACACCCATATCCGTACCCGTGCTTCTTATGTTAACATCCTCGATTAGTTTTTATGGCATCATTTTTTCAATGAAAACCTTTGAACTCTTTTATGGTAAGTTTTTTTCTAATGAAAACAGTGCCTCTTTGAAATATCTCTACTCTTATTTGGAAAATTTGTGCTTACGGTATAAAATAGCAGTAGAAATCATTTCCCTAGGTTGTTCAAGCGCTCATTAGTCATTTTCACTTGAACACCTGAGTGCCTAAAATCTACCAAGTATTAAGAATCAAGAAGAAATAGGGTTGTTTTCTATTTTGTTAAATCTTCCTAAGGAACCAGTGAGTTAGAGGTCATGAAACAGAGCAAGCAAATTTTTCTTATTGACAAGATCAGGCTAGTTAATCATTCAGATGGGATGCTGGGCAACGTTCACCTAAGGACAAATAAGATTGGCAGGGGGCAGGCCAACATAAGATTTCAAACAATTGAGAGACACTATCTCTCTTTTTTCCCACAAATGAAAAAAACTTCCTTTTAATACTTCCTTCTAGAATCCGAATTTCAGAAATATATTGTAAGATTGAACTTCAAAAAATGTTGTGGCAGTACTGGTCTTAAAGATTCAATTCTGCTTTCCAAGTGAGAGAACCTTGGCCTGAATTAAATGATTAAATATTTTCTTTTACACATTTAAAGCATGTGTGGGATCAACGTGGGCCCCGATCCTTCATGTAGTTCAAAAAAATTAATGCACAAAGAATTAATAAGGAACCTTTTCTGCTGGTCGCTGGAAATAGGAGCCTTCCACTAGCCGATTTCCTTGGATGTATTTCCTGAAGGAAAATCCACAAATTAGACCCAAACATTATGGAACCAACCACAAAATATCCAAGAAATCAATGGGTAGTTATATACTTCATCTGAACAAATTACATTGAGCATTTAAAGACATTGATATGCAAAAGAAAGATTATGGCGTTAAGAAGATATGCATTTGCAATAGATTGTCACAAACAAGCCTACATCATGCTTTCAAAGAAGCTTAGAGATTGGTGGATAAAGAGAGGTTTTCACGGTTGGTAACACTAGTTTATAAAAAAAGCTAGATTTTGCCAAACAAAAATTAGAAGTGAGGAATAAAGAAGTGTTTAGTGATATTCATGTTACCAAAAAACTTGATCTTGGCAAGATTTGACGAAATCGATAAATTTAAAGAAAGGGGTCTCAAATGAGGATTTCAAAAAAAAAATCTGGAATCTTAGGAATAAGTTTGAGGAGATGGTTTTTATTTAGAAAATTATTTGGAGGTATAAATCATGATTGAAATGTGTAAAAGGAGAAAAGACGCTCTATCTTGAGATCTTCCCTATCGTTCTTGGCTTAGTTAACTCTTGCTTCAGGTGTAATTATGATAACTCAAAAGCCTTTCACATAGTGGGGAATGAAATTGAAAAGAAGATAATCATTTACAAGTTGGAGCTTAATGGAATGATGATTGAAGATAAGGAACCTACTACGACTTGAAATCATTAATTTGTTTATTGAGTTACATTTGGCCTATAAGTGTAATAGGCCTAGCATGTAGGTAGGAAGATCTCGATTGGTGCCACATTGATGCAAAGAAAACAATGTGGATAGAAAGACCTTCTAAGAAAGATCAAGTTAGGAATGGTCTTTTTCAATGTAGCAAAGAAAAAAACTCCGGATCTGATGGTTTTACTATAGCTATATTTCAAGAGTGTTGAAATATGATGAAAGGTGATTTGAAGAGAATGTATGAGAAATTACTTCAAAATGGTGTAATTAATGCAATTAGTATTGCTCCCTTTATTAGTCTCAAGCCGAAAAAAGAGAAGTCTTCAAAAATGAAGGAGCTTAGGTTGGCTAGTTTGGCATCTAGCTTTTACAAGATTGTTGCAAAGCATCACCAATAAGAATAAGGGAGAGTCTAAGTGAAACTATATCTAACTTTCAAGGCGTTTGTTAACAAAAGAAAGATTTTGGATTTGACCCTCATGGATAATTAGGTCATTAGAGATTATAGATCTATAAGAGCGGAGAGCATTATTTTAAAATTCAATTAAAAAAGCTCATAACCATGTGGCTTAGAATTTCTTGGATTTCCCTTGGATGTTTAAGGTTTTTGAGAAAGGTTGAGGAACTAGATTAGATATTGTTTGCATTTGGTGAATTTTTAAGTTGTACTTAATGGCAAACCAAGGGGTAGGTTTAAGGCATCTAAGGAACTTAGACAATGGATCCTTCATCCCATTTTAAGTTCAGTCTAATGGTTGAGGAGTTGAGAAGGTCAGTAGAGTGGGCCAAGAAATGGGATTTAGATGAAGGATTTGTAATTGCAAGGAAGAGGACCTTCATTCGAGGGTGAAGAGAAATTTTTGAATCCTAAGAAAATGGTTGGTGTGTTTGGTGTAATTGAAGGTTAATGGGTCAAAGATTGATTATTGGAATAAATACTAATCATGATAAGATTGTTAGGTTGGCTTTGGCCTTGGGGTGTTCCGTAGATGAGTGACTTTCTTAAGTACTAAGGTCATCTATTGTCTTTGGCATTTTCGAATCTACTTATCCATAAAGTAGGAAAAAGATTGGATGGTTGGAAATACATTATTTCTAGGGAGAAGACTAACATTAGTCCAAGTTATCTTGGTCGGTATTCTCACTTATTTCTTGTCTCGTTTTAAGATGTCTTGTAAGATGGCAAAGAAGATTGAATGTATATGAGGGAATTCTTTGTGGGAATGACGTGAGGGAAGGGAGAATGATTTGATTCACTAGAAAGTGGTGTGTAGCCCTAAAGATAAATGCATACTTACGGCGGGTAACTTGAGAGCAAGGAATATTTGTTTTCCCCCTTTTTCCTTATTTGCCCTTCTTACACTGTCATCATTGGAAAGAAGACACAAAAAGTAGAACAAAGATAACGCAATTCAATGACAAAGAAAAGACATCATAAACTCCCAAAGGATAATTTATAAGCAGAAACAATTTATTGAAAATTACTTAAAAGGGACCAGCTGCCCCATAATTTAAAAATCCTATTATGTTTACAGTACCTGAAGAAGAAGCTTCATTTCAATGGTATATTGGCCCAAAAACTATTTCTACCATAAACGCTTTTAGTCCTCTACACGTCTACCACTAACTCCCTATAAAACATTCTCTTAATGATAAATTAATATTAGGTTGTCATCCATTTGATTCTTTCATTAAATTATTTTGTTGGTAATTAGAAAAGCCTACCCATCTTCTTCTTTTTTTTTTTTTTTTTTTTTAATGAATTGGGCTGAGTTTTGCTTACACTTCCTCTTTGTATTGCAACAAATCGTGCTTTTTCAGCCATCAATGCTGTCAAGATTGAACTTCAAAATAAGATTGAGAATGATTTTTTTAACAAACTCTTTGATTATGTATATAGTAAAGAAGATTGCAAAGAAAATTAATACCGATTCAATCATTGATGAGTTTCATGATATACATAGAATAATTCGTTGAATAAAACTTTGATAGACGACTTTTTAGCGAGGGAATATGTAAAACGAATATTGGTTCACTTTCAATCTTGTTGGTATCAATGATTATTTTGAATGTATATTTTTTGTATGTACAAATATTGTGCATGTTGTTACATGTTGGTATGAATTTATAATTTTCTATAAATGGTTTTGACCCCCTAAAGAATCCTAGTTCCATCCATGCTTAAAAGAAACAAACAACATGCTACACTTTATCCATCACAATCAAGTTAAAGCCATGCACCATAAGCATTTTATAACACACTCTATCAAGTAAAATTGCAATAGGGGAATTCATTCGAATAGAAAAAATATAATAATAACAAAAACTAAGCTGAAAAAAGATGTGATACGCCGATGATCACTCACTACAAGGGGAAAAGATGATTTATTACTCAAGAGCAAAAATTATATTTGATAAAAGAAATGTTTTAATCATCCTTCCAATTGTGAATTCTGCAAATAAATTATAACAGGAAAAAATGTTCCAGCTGTCAAAATGAATAAATTTTGGTTTCACAAAAGCAACACAGGTTCCATTCTACCAGATATATTTTAATAATGCCATTGTCAGTAGATTCTTTGGTTAAGTTAGGTGCAATATAAAGAAATTGACCTGCCCAATAGTCAAAACAAACCTATGATTCACTACCGCACAGCCAAATCATTATTCTAATTTTGTTTCCTGGATTCAATAACGATATGAAACACAGGCAAACTGACTCACAGAAAGCTTTATACTTGTTTCTTTTCTAAGCATCTATCAAACTTTTTCAAGAATCTCGTCTAACCGTATCTCCAACTTTCTTAATAAGTCCAAATGTATGGCCACTGGCCAGCACTGAACATTGGGCCTGATTTCCAAACCATTCATTCAAATGTTCAGTAAAATAGATGAAACATGTCAGTAAGACTGAATCTGCCAAAAGTAAAAATGGATTCCTTATCCAAATTCAATTCTAACTAGCTAATAGTATTAATAGAATTGCTAAAACCATCATGAGGATTGAAAACCCAATCCTATTACAACTGATACACTCTAGCAGCTTTTCAACCAGAATATGGGCTGGTTTTATCTATTCCTCTGTAGGTTTCTGCCTTACAATGTTTAGTTACAGAGCAATGAAATAATAGAGGTCATAACCCCGAAAATTGAATGTTAAGTTAGTGAATACAAATTAAAACCAATATGTAACTCAGCTTAATACATCAGTTCGTCTCTCTCTATGAATTTTTCCTTCTTCAAAACCAAATGCAACAGAAACACAGAGAAACCAATAATCCTATGTTATGTTCTTTTTCCATTTTTATATGTTTAGATTCTTGTCCAATCAAATGGCACTAGTTGCACGCCCAACAAATAAAGGAACGGTATGAATTACAAAGAACCAAACAATACAGTAAGATGATGTTCTTGAACTTTCCAATTGGTTGCTAAGAAAATGAAGAAGAAGAAAACAAAAACTATGTATATCAGACATATAGTCCCCACGCTCATAAATCTTTATGAATTCAATGTTGTTTTGATTTTCTTTTCTCTTTTCTTACATTTCTCAGCAACCAAACGGGGCTTTAGGATATTTGTTGCGGGGGGGGACGGAAACAGAATTTAGGGTTTTGTGAGTTAACTTTTTATTTACCTCAATAAGGGTTTTGAGAGCACAGAGAGGGGTTGAGTAGTTGATGGAGACCAAGCACGCCATGGGAAAGCCAGTACCTCTGGTGGGGGCTGGTTAGTAAACTAGAATGTAGAACAAAAAGTTCGAGAAAATGAGTAGGAAAACGCTGTTTTCGAAAAATTTCTCGGAAAACTGATGCGATCCTATTCTTACATGCTTGCCAGGGTTTGTCTTGGACTAAAACAGACCGAGCATTTGAATTTGGATTTGAATTCAAATTGGAATTTAATTTCAAAAATTTAATCCCAATTCAATTCAATTATTCAATTAATTTTATTTGTACAGAAATTTAGCTTCTCTTTATTATATTTTTATTTAATTTTACTAATGATAGTTGATCAATATTATAAGATGAAGGATTAATATATAAATAATGGGCATTATTTGGTTGTAAAAAACACTCTGTGTTATATATTATCGTATTTCAAAATTTTATCTAAATAGTACATTGTTTATTCAAATAATATATTGTACTCGTACTATTAATTCGATTATAATACCACTTAAAGAGTGGTATTATACTTCAATTCATATGTATCTATAATATAAAACACAACGGGTTTCAACAAGTCGATAAAACGGTCACAATTCATTTCATCCAAACACCACCAATAACCTCTTCTTACTCTCCAAATTCATCGTTTCTCACCCGCAAATACCATTTCAAAGTCATTTCTCCCCTATACGTTTCCCTCAAATCCATCTCTATCAAGCACTTTTCCCCAAATTTCACTCCCTTCTCTCTCCTCCCTTCTCACCCGACCGTTAACCCCTCTCTCTGATCTATCTTTCTCTCTTCTTTGTTTGTCCAAACAGCAACCCACCACAGCTCTGTTCCTCTCTCACTCTCACGCCGCCAGTAGAGACGTCGCCAGCAACGACGATTCTCACTCTCCAGGTATCTCTCTCTTTGTCCCTCTCTTCTCTCTCTCTTTCTCTTTTCCCCTCTTTCTCTTCCATCTTCGGTTACCAGCATGACCATACCCCTTTCCCACAGCTCCAATCCATGGCACATGAAGTGTTTGTTGAAATGCCATAGAAAAATATTTAGTAATAAATTTCTTTTTCCTTTTAAGTTCGAGTTTGGTGGTGATTTCTCTCTCTCATTCTCTTGCCCTCTTCATATGCCTCTCTCTATCTTCATCACACAACACACCATACACAAACACGACACACACAAAATTCCCTCCTCAACCCCTGTTTTTCATAAATTACGAAAAATGTACACACTCACACAATATCGCACACATCCACCCACAACACACACCCCCGCACTTCGCACACGCACAAACCCCTAGTCGTAGTACAACACACAAATACACACCTAGCATACACACCCAACACACACAATTACACATACCCACAAATTGAAATCGCACACACAAAAGTTGTTAGTTAGGTGTTGATTTGCTCTCAACCATAATGGACATCAAGTGTTTGTTGGAATGCCTAAGAGAAATATTGTATGCTCCACCATTCTTTTTTCTTTTGATCGGTATGAATTTACTGTGTACCCATTTTTTATAGGTATAATGTGTTGAAATTATGTTTCAATTAAAGTTTGTTGAGTTTTATCGAAATTGAGGTATTGTGTGGATTTAGAATTGCATTTCTTTTGCTTTAACTAGAGCTCATATCACAACTTTCAAGCTAGAGAATACTTTTTATTTTGAGGAAGACAATAAATTTGAAAGACTCAACTTGGATTTGTATTCATTGCTATTATTCTTTTGCTTGAAAATTGTACTTAAATGCATATACATTGGATTGAGAATATGTTATTCTAGAATTGAAATTAGAGTACTGAATTGAATTTAGTTTTTTAGTCAATTGCTTAGACTTTTTATACTTTAGGCTTTTTTGCTTTTTACAAATTGAATGTAATTGGTAATCCCGTTTTGTCTTTACTTCATTTGTATGTTGTTATGGAATTCATTTATGTTGTGGCAGTAATTGATAAATGATTTCATTGTGATATGACTATGGCATGATTGTGAGTCCTATTTGGTGGTTATGAACCGTGTATATACAGGTTTAACTTTTTTGGGATACTATTTTTAGAGAAAATTCTATCTAAACATTCTCGTGCATTTAGCTGTTGAGGTTGGCTACCATTGTATTGCTTCAGAGTGGTTTTGTTTTTTGGCATATGTTTGCTATCTTTTAGAAACTTGGTGGTGCTAATGTCTTCCATGTAATGCTACCCTGAGAAATTTTTTTTTCTTATTAATTATTTGGGACTCTTGAAGATATTGTCAAATTTAATTGCCAGACATGAATGTAGTCTCTATTTGTCCACCAATCTATTTGTTTTTCCATGCATTCATAAACTACACCTTATTGAGATATTTTGTTATTAGGTTAGGTACAATTTGCACCGAGTTTTGTTAGTAGGTCTAATTTGATGTATTTTTGGGATTCATGAGTGTATTTCTTTTGCTTGAATTGATTATTTGGTGGACAAACATTTGGAGCTTAATGTTTGCATATCTTTTGATTCCGAATAATTAGGCGAAGTTCTCATTATTCTTTTTCACAAAATTTTAATCTATTCCAGGGGTAGATAAATGTTATTTTATCAGTTGTTTTAAGAGTTTCAACATCACACTCATGCTTCTAGGCAAAGTTTGAATGGTAACTTAGTGAATTTTTTATTGTTTGATTTTTGTCAACACTTTTCCCAACACTTTTTCTAATTTTTTTTTAATTTCAAGTTTAGTTAAAGGCATTGAACATTACAATAGTGAGCACACAGATTTTCTCAATATTGGCTGCAACATATTCCTATGGTAATTACTTCTTCAATTAAATTTCACCTTTTTGATAGTCTATTTTTGCAAATTGATAATCATAGTACCAGGACATTTACTAAGTGAATGATGTCTTATAACTTTTATATGTGCGATGGCTTTAATTATCATGGATTTTATGATTTTACAGTGTGAATTTGAATATATGCGATTTAGATATTATAAATCTTTTATTTTTATTTGAGGGGTGATTTAATGAGTATACAATTTGAATAACGTTGGCATGGCGTAATGGTAGTGGCATATTTTTTAACTTACATGATTTGATAGTCTACATAGGTTCACTTGCTCATTTGATCATGCACCCACTTTTTATGTCTCAGATAGACCTATATCACATTTTTCTTTTCAGTTAGTTTTAAATTTTTTTGTTAGCATTTTTTTTGTAGAAATATTTGAGAGGGAAGAAGACTTTGATAAAGAGAGAACTTTAGAGAATAATATGTTGTTCATTGTTTTTTTTTCCCGGTATGTACATTGTTCATTGTTTTTTTTCCCATTATATACATTGTTCATGATTAATTGGTCTATTCAATATATTAGTGGAACAATTGGTTTCTTTTTGTTTAGGTTGTGGTTTAAATTAGAACAAATGATCAAGAGAAGACTTTTTAATTTCAAGCAAGAGAATACTTTGGAATTGGAGGTTTGGCAGGGGCACATATAAAGATTGGGTCATGGAATTACTAACCCAACAACAATTGTGCTAAACATTGGGTACTTCTTCTTAAGCCGTAAGTTCCCTATTTTGGTGATGTTATATTTACAACTATTGCATTCTATTATAGATGTTTCAATTCAAGTTTGTTGAGTTTTATCGAAATTGAGGTATTGTGTGGATTTGGAATTGCATTTCTTTTGCTTTAACTAGAGCTCATATCACAACTTTCAAGCTAGAGAATTTTTTTTTTGTTTGAGGAAGACAATAAATTTGAAAGACTCCAACTTCCAAAAGACATGAAATTTTTTTCAATGGGACTACCAGGAGATTTTAGTCAGATGCCTATAGTTTTAAAATGCATGCTTATATTTTTAAAACACATGCTTAATTGTCTATGCTGCTTTAATTTTGGACTTATTTTCTAGCAATTCTACATGGAGTTGGACATTACAATCATTTGGAATTATGTAGTTGTGTGTGTCGTGGGTGTCTAAGTCTTGCTGTGAACTGTTACATAGATAAAGTTGAATTAGACTGTACGACGAGTGTTAGTATGTCTTTGCATTAGTTTTTACATGGATGTTTTAAGGGATGACCATGCAGTGGTGGTGTGTTTGAAATTTGGGATTGTGTTTTCTTTAATTATAAAAACACATGTCATTGAATCGTTGCACCAAAAGATACACAACCAGCAATTTAACCAACACTGAGTCATTGCACTGCCATTATTGTGGTGTTAACCCGTGCCTAAAGAAAATATGCTCACACATGGACAACACTTGCACCCAATTATTTAAATTTGTGCCAATTAATTACCCTCATGCATTTCCCCCCATTAGTTTCCCAAAATTGAAATTGATACATTCCCTCTAAATAATTGCATGAAAATTTCCTCTCCTTCATGCATTTTGAGATTTGGGATTGACCCTATTTTCTAGGCACAATTAATATTGACTAAATCATTGTGAAATTGAAAACCCTAAAATTTTTGAAGTAGTTTTGAAAATCCTAGAGTTTTTTAGTTTTTATATTATGCTTAGTTAGGGTTTGAAAACCCATATTATGAGTTTGTTTTACTTATTGGATTTTTATTGTCACTTGATTGCTTTTAAAGTAGAGCAATGTGCGTTAGCTTGGAAAGAGTGAAATTTTAGGCTGCAAAAATTCCCAATTTATTTGTGTTATGTTATGGATTGGTTTTCAAGTTGATTAATGTGGGTCTACTTGATTACCTAATCTCATGCCATGGATTCGTTTAAAGTTGATTGGTGTGGGTCTATTTAGATTAGTTTAATGGTTGGAACGATTGTATGTTCACTTTTCTCTTTGGATGGTTTGTTCGCTTTTCTCTTTGGATGGTTTGTTTGTTTTTCTCTTTCTACTAAATGTACTTCAGAAATCTAATAATGAGAAGTATTGCAAATTGCCAAGGCACGTTGCATTTTATACGTTACATCATACTCCTTTATTATTTACTATGACTATTTGCATCCTATACATGTAAGTGTTCACAATGCAGATGTACGTGTAT